TGTATCTGACCAAAAATATCTTTCCTTTCGCACGGTCTCCTGCTTTACTCAAGCGTTGCTATGGCACGTCATGAAGTGTCACTGATAGGGATGAAGTAGAATGCTGCTTCCTCCTCCCCGGTACCAACATCTGGGCTGCTAGATACTCTTGAAGGTTATAACGCATGTACTGTTGCAGGGTGCAAAGCCCATTTGCGCATATCACGATCTGCATTCCAGTTGCCATCCATAAGGAGGCCCGTTAACTCTTTACGAGGATAGCATAGTTCAAGCGCATAATCAAACAGTTCACTATAAAAGTCACTGTATAACTAAGCGTATTGGTGATGTCAGCCACGATGATGTTCAGATTGGTGAGTCTATCTACTGAGTTGGGCGGTTCATGCAGGTACTACAGCATAGTCATCATGGTGCTCCGGACACGGCCCAGCAACCCCAAGCCACGTTAAGACCCCGCGGAAAAGACGTCATGTCTAGTAACGCCTTCCATACCCCTCCTCACCATAACCACCGGAGCTATACTCCTGCCTTCGCTGGCCATATTCGTCTTCATCGTCACGGCGGCGGCCATAGCCTTGAGTCTCTTCACCGAAACCACCGGGAACACCAGAAGCGCCGTAAGATTGATCAGGACGCTCACCACCGTATTCCAGGCCCTCCGAACGACCGTATCCGCTGGATCTGTACAGGTTAGTACCGTAGCCCCGGCGAGAAGATTCGCGAACGTACTCTTGACGGCCGTAGCTCGACTCTTCCTGGCGACGGCCATATCCAGACTCCTCTTGACGACCGTATCCGCCAGTGCTATAAGAGTCAGCGCCATACTGCGGTTGCTGACGGCCGTAGCCTCCAGCGTCTCCGCCGTACTCCTGGCGTCCGTACCTGGATGGCTCTTCACGACCGTAGCCTGACTGCTCGCCGTAGCGCTGCTCTTGGCCGTAGCCTTGCGAGTATCCTCCGGACTGGCGCTGGGGCGAACGACTGCCGCTCTTCTTGCGACGGTGTTCATGCTCACGGGAGCGAGAGCGACGCCTGTGTTCACCAGATCCTGATCGACGCTTGTCAGCATCATCCGAATCCTCATCACCGCTGCCATGTTTCTTGTGCTTATGGCGCTTCTTCTCCTCCTTCTCACGCTTCTTGCGCTCCTTCTTCATCCGCTTCTCGTATGAATCTTCGCCGCCCGAATCGTTCGAATCGTCGTCATCAGAGTGTTTCTTGGACTTACCACGTCGTCTGCACAATTGTTAGCCTATCATCGTCATGAATTGAGGATTTCGCTTACTCTCTCTCCTCGGAGTAGTATTCTCCAGACCGATCGATCCCTTCGCGTGTCTCTTCAGAGCGCCATTGATCGCCATGCTGGACGCGACGCTCCTCGCGACGCTCATATCCACCGGTGTTGCTGTAGCTCGAAGTCTCGACGCGCTGTTCGTAGCTGTAGGATCCGCCACGGTCGTCCCGTTCCTGACGAGAGTACTCCTCGCGACGCCCGCCACTCGGGTATTGTGTCTGCTCGTACTCGGCGCGGCCATAGCGATCGTTGTCGCCATACGAAGATGCCTCGTGATGACCAGTCTCCGAGTAGGACTGAGTGTAAGAGCCGTCTTGACCGTAGCTCTCCTCCTTGTGGCTCTTCTTTTCCTTTCCACCGAAAGCGTCACCAAGCAGAGAGCCGCCGATGCCGCCAACAAGACCACCGACAAGGCCGCCTAGGGCGCCACCACCAACGGCTTCGCCTGCGAGCTTGCCAACATGGTCCGAGGCCTGCTGGATCTGTGGGTTGACACCACCTTGTCCGCCGGAAGAGCCAAAGTTGTTAGCCATACCCAGAGGTTTGCCGCAACCATGGCCCTTATCGTGCACGTTCTCCTTGTGGTTGCGGAGGTTCTGTACGCCGTCTCGACTGAGCTGATCACGGAACTCCTCCTGTGCGCGCCTGTCCTTGGAGCTCCACCACTTTCCAACTGTGTCAAACATGATTTGGTGGCACTCTTGAACTCCGCGATCACCCCGTCCTCCATGGTTTCTCTCTGCTGCAGCAACCGCAGGGTGATGGAACACGCCCTTGATGATGCGGTCAATGGTTTCCTCAGGGTCGGCCTCACCGTCCCAGCACTGGACGACTTGCGGAACAGCCCAGCTTAGCACGGCAGATGCTACGCGACCAGCAGGCTCGTTGAGCACGTTGGAGAAATGATCCTTGGAAAGCATGCTGTGGGTCGGGTCGGTACAGTCATCGTCATTGAAGACGATGTGCTGCTTCTCACGAGAGCTTGCAATGACTTCGCTGGATCCCGTCTCAAGCTCAGACTTGACTTGGCTAAGAATGGGCAGAACGTAGGGAGCAAGAAGACTGAAGACGAAGATAGTGACCTGGCTCTGGACCTCCTCGATCAGATCTGGCAGAATTGGGATCTTCTCAATGAATTCGGTGATGGACTGCATGATTTCGTCATGGAACTCCATGATGGGGTAGATCTGCTTGACTAGCTCTCCAATCTGCTCAGTAAATGCCTCAGGCTCCTTAGGCGTGATCTGGATGTTGCCCATCGCAGCAGCGTTGGAGTTGTCGGCAAGCTCTTCGGCTTTACCAGCTTCGTCTTTGCCGCCAAAGATGCCGTCTGGGAGCTTAGCAAGGAGCTCTTGGATCTTACTCTTGTTCTCGTTCCTGTCGGCATTGGCAATTGCGCCTTCAAGTTCCTGCAGCTCGGACTGTGTAGCCTTGTCGGTGATCTCTCCGCAGACCGAGTGCAAGAAGTCGACACCACCGAATGTGCCTGTGATGATGGGGTATACCTGCTTTCCAGCGGCGCGGACATCGAACAGGGCGTTCCTGCCGACGTGGGGGAAAATGTCCCGGTTGTCTTCGTCGAGTTCAATCAAGGCAAGCTCGACATAGTTGGAGTGAGCAGAGTAGTCCTCCAGACAGTGTGTCGCTGTACCGAGAAGTCTCAATGCTTCGTAGAAGTCGGGTCCCTTTCCTCGCGAGCGGCGTCCCAGGTCGATGCAACGCCGAAGCAGGTCGCGGACCATACCAGCCGATGTTGTGATACCCAAGTCTTCGGAAGCGATGTAGTTCTTCAGGCCGGTTCGCTCGTCGACGCTGAGCTCGCGTCTCTCGTCAACTGGGCCTCGCAGGCGGCGGTCGTAGTCGCGGGCGTCGAGGTTGTCGGCGTAGTCCTGAATAGTCAGTATCAGGATTTGGGAAATAAAGCGGTGTACCGACCTTGGGGTTGTCAATGTGCTCTTCAGGTCTGTAGCAACCAAGGCGATCGCGGGTGACCTCGAACTCCTTGGTTCCGTAGCCGAAGCTCATGAAGCCGAGCACCCAGAGGAGGATGCGGATAGCCTCTGCAGAGACCATCTTGACAGTGCCGACATCGACGGCCTGGGAGTAGTCGCGTAGCCAGTTGCCAAAGTAGACACGCTTGACATCCATCTTGCTGAACTTCTTGCCCGTCTGGCCGCTGATGAGCAGAGTGAGTAGGGTATCCTCGATATCTCCATGGCGCCAGTTCTGTCCCTCAATGGCGCTCAGGCTTGCAATGTTGCCCGCACCGAAAGCTGCCGTGGGGCGCGCCCACAACACCATTACGATGAGGCATGGCAGCCAGATGTCGCTGATTTGCGGCATCGTGCTCGTGATTTCGTATACTCTTGATGATATGCACGGAAGAGTCTAGGAAGAGATTGTAGGTCGAGGAGAGAGGGGTGCGTTGTGTACACCGGTGTCTATGTGAATGTTGCTAGTGGCATGTTTCAGTGGCTGGTCTTGCTTGAGCTTACCCCACCACAGCTGACGTAGAGGGGCCACAGCCCACCCACACGCCCAACAGATCGTCAGCGAGCGCTGTTCGACCAAACTACCTCTTACACCCGTCAAACACGCGTATCCCTCGTTTCGCGCAAACCTCGCCCTTGCCCTGACGTGCGCGATACCACAGTTACGCGTGTCATTGGATGTCCGCTTCCTACTGCAGGAAATTGCCGTGCATTCTCAGCTGGCATGTAGCCCCAGGCGGCTACCTTGTAACCGCACCGGGCCATGACAGAATCTGTGTCGCATCAGGTAGATCTCTACAGAACCGCCATCTCCACAACCCATAATGTATCCCCGTACCGATGTATGCATCGGCTTGTTTACTATCTGTTCGTTACCATAGTCGCATCATGCGGATGTCCCTTCAGATGTCCTCGCATTGCTGCATGCACAGTACTCTCATTCTGAACCAAGTGCGCTGAGACGGGCGCGGCAGAAAACGCCGTCGTTGAAGAGACTGCACATATCGTCGATGTGCACGCCGACCGTAGCATCTAGATCCATGGCGAGGTGTGGTGTGCTATCATCTGAATGGTGCTGCCTCAACTGGCCAGGTAGGAAAGCGCAAGCCGCGACGGGAACCCCGGTCAGAGGGCAGCTGTGTCGAGATGATCGACTTCATGCTGATTGGGGTTTCGCGATGGGCTGAAATCTGTTCGGTTATGTGGTGTTGTGAATGGCTAGGAATGACCATGTGGTGACGGTAGTGAGTTGTGGCTTGATGGCCTGGTGCGCGGTCCAAGTTGCGCCGTGTTACGCTTTCCACCGCCAGCCCGCCCGCGACTGCCGTATGAAGAGCACACAGCACCCATCACGCCCCCAGGTAACACCACACCTCCGCAACTCCTTCCATCTCATCGCCATCGCCTCTCACACGACCCTAACGCCGGGAAGGCATACGGAACCGATGCGACACCGCCATGCATGTCACTGGGAATATAGTCATCAAGCGGTGAGCATGTGTAAGTGGAAGAACTGTCATTTTTGTAACGAGATTAGAAATTAACCTGTAAAGTAGGTCATACAACTCTAGAACCAACGCCGACAAGGGAATGGTGCCCTCCATGATGCGATGACCCGCTCTATGTATCCCGATCCATGGTGCCAACTGGCTTCCAATTCCCAACGCCGCAACAGGTGAATCGAACAAAAGAAAATACATCCAGTCATGACCCAACTAGTAGTTGAAGACCGTCAATGACGGGTTCAGTACGATGGGCAACAGGCAGTGCATGATAACCGTTACGGCCCAACTAGGTATTGTTAGCGAGATGTCAATGATATGAGTAGGAGGGTACTTACGGCAGAACGGCAGTCAGACCGGTAATCTCCCAGCCGTGGGGAGCGAAGCATCCGAGGTAGATCATACCTCCGATCATGAGGATCATGATCATGTACATCCACTTGAAGCGCTTCCAGATCTTGGGCAGCTCGGCGAAGAAGTTGGAGTTGTCCTTTTCCTTGGCTGTGGCACCCCAGCTCATGTCGATACAGAACATGTGCGAGCAAATGGCGAGGAGGATGTGGAACGAGACACCACCGAAGAAGATCATGAAGAAGGGCATCCACTTGAGGTTCTCGAAGAAGGCACCCAGTAGACTGGCCTCACCGATACGGTAGCGCATGATGGCGAAGCAGACGTTGGACATTCCGTTGAATACGATGAGCAGGACGATGAAGATCTTCCACGATTCGACATAGTACTTGTCGAGATCACCGTTGAGCCATCCGACCAGGAAGTAGTTGAGGCAACCGAGGGGAACGGCCGATCCGAGAGCGTAGTAGGAGAAGATGTAACCGCAGATGGAGATCTTGGACGACAGCTGGATGTTGGAGAAGATGAAGGTGCGGAAGAGCTTGGTGAAGGGGGACTTCCACAACCAGGTGTGCACAGGGTTGAAGACCAGTTCGTTGCAACCGTACGCGTACTTCTCCCATCGGTCCAACTCGTCGAAGATGGAAAGAGACACACCCTCCTTGAAGCCACGGCCGTGGTAACTGGCCAAGCGGACAATGTTACCCTTGATCTGGAGACGAAGCGCGATATCGAAATCTTCGGAAACGTGGCTCTCGGACCAGAAGCAGACGTAGCCATCATCCTCCGGAGGGTTGCCAACGGACTGGACAGCTTGCCATCGCAAGAAAGCGTTGTGACCGACGAAGGGTGCGACTTCACCGCTACCGACTGAGAAGCGAATGGCGGTGTAGACAAGGTTAGTGAAATAGGTGATACCGTTCTCGAAGTAATCCCAAGAGACTTGCATGACACCAGTAGCGTGCTGAACAATGGCGACTTCGGGCGACAGGTACATTTCGGCGGCACCGTACATGAGGCAGTCTTCAGGAACGATGGTATCGGAGTCGACAATGAGAATGATTTCACCCATACGGATGTTACCGCCAGCCTTCGCGCGGGGGTCCGCGGTGAGAACCTGTTCGAGAGCCTCGTGATAGAGAGCGAGCTCCTCCTCCTCGGAGATCGAAGCATCACCATCAGCCTTGTCGAAACGGTTGTCGACCATGCTTTGAAGTACATCCTCGACCTTGTTGGAGGTGTTGAGAGCGAAGTTCATGTTCGAGGCCTTCTTGAACTTTCCGCGGCGAACGAAGCCTTCGTGGTTGTGCTTGGGGCGCGAGACCCATCCAATGTTGTTGTTCTCGTAGAATCGCAGGAACTTCTCGTTATCCTCTGCCGATCGGACGGCCATACCATCATCGTTGATGAAGATGCGTGCAGTTCCACCACGGGACTCGTAGTAGGAGATGGCAGCTTGCAAACTGGCGACGGTGGGCTTGACGACACCCTCAAGGGACTCGGTGTAGATGGGCATTTGGATGGTGATGGTCGACGGCGTGAATCCCATGGCGCGTGCCTGGGCAAGGTTGGGCTTGACGGCGGAGTGGAAGCGGCTGTTGGACTTGACACCAGTGACGGGTCCGAACACCTCGAAGATGTTACCCAGGACGACAACGACGAAGAAGAGACCAAGGGCGATCCACAGTGGCTCGGTTAGGACGAGAAGGATACGGGGGTAGAAGTGATCGGTCATAGTCTGGAGAATGATGGCCTTGTTTCCGAGACCGATGACGAGGACGATGATCAAAACCATGGCAAGACCGACGAAGATGGAACTTGTGAAGATGAGAGGACGTGCGAGCGACTCCTTAGGACCTTCGGCCTTCTCGAGGTCACCATCAACCTCCTCAGCATTGACCTCAACGTCGTCCTTCTTGCTGTCGATAGCGAAGTCGACGGTTGATCCTCCAAGGGTGGAGTTGGCACTGGACTGGATGGCGCTGTCGAAACCACTGAAGGGGTTCTTTGATGTACCCCAAACCAAGGCCAGGATCCTTGATTCGATCTCCATCGCCTGGGAGAGGATCGCACCGAGGTCATCGTGCCATACAAGGAGGAGCCTCTCCTGGCGGATAAGAGCTGCGTATTGGAACTTGCGGATGGTACTCGAGGTAGCGACCTCTGCCATTGACTCGAAGATCTGGATCTGGGAGCCGTTCTGGAACATCAACTCCGTCTCGAAGGGCTCGAGAACATCAAAGATGGCCTGTGTACCATCGGTGCTCATGGTGAGGGCGACACCAGGGTTGATCCTCTTTACTGCCGAGAGAAGGTCCTTGTTGGCCGCTACGGGTTCTGTGACATATTCTCCTTGACCCTTTCGGATCAAGACACCTTCGCAGGAGCCAGGTGTCAGGGCACTGGATGTCATCCATCGCATGGAGCATGCCTTAGCGTAAAGGTGCTTGATGATCTATGTGGTGTGAGACAGTGTTGTGCAAGCCTAAGGTTGTTTGTACTTACGGCACGGTATCTTGAGTCTTCGTCGATCTTCATGGTCAACGGCCGCGACAGGGCCGGACGACTCGTCGGTGTCTGGGGTACGGAGTAGCGGGAGGAGTCATTGACACTGCCACTGAACGATTGCCTGCTGGAGGGGATGAAGGGCCTGTCCCCATCGTGGGAAGGTGTGGCGGAAGACATGCCGAGGGGATGTCAAAAGAATTAAGAGGAGCGGTAGGGATAGTAAGCGATTGTAAGGAGCAGACGAGTCTGTTAAAGACAGGTGCTGTGGTCGGAGCCAAGAAACGAGGGAATGGGCAAGGAGCCCTGCGAAGATCAGTAAAGCGCGAATGTGTAGAGACTGGAAAGAGAACGGAAGCGGTCGAAGAGCAGAGGTTATCAACGCGGCACAGTTGGTAGTGTCTACACAGTTCTCTCCGACTACGCGAAACAGGGCCCCGCCACAATCCTTAGCGACCAGGTCAAAGATACACTCATGCTACACACTATCGAATGTTCGGCAGACCCCTTGTCTAGCACGTTCGAGTCTCAACAAGACCTGCTACGCGAATGTCCCGATTAAGGTCACTGCGTCTGTCACAAACGCTATCTCGCATTCACCACCATCCAGAATCGGCGGCAGCGCAGACCGCCAGCTGCACCTAGCAATCCTTCCATCTATCGATTATTTCGCCAGCGCACGCCCCGGTCGCTCTCCCGTCCGCTGGGCCATGGTGGTCCTCAATGTTGGGACAGTGGCTCCCTTACTAGCATCGACGAACATATGTTTCGCCGGTGCAACACCATCAAGCTATGGGTCATCATCGAGATCTGAAGCAAAAGGGGATGTGCAATTGTTTGTCGCATTCGGGTACCTTGCACGCCCACGCTTGTGCCTGAGCTAAGTGGAACGGTTTAGCCTAGCCGCTGCTATACTGGGCGTGCGCCACCACTTTTTGACGTTCCGCCGGAGGAGAATTTACTTTTCTCGACGTTCGGTCAGCTCCTCGGCGTCACGTAGCGGACCTGTCCAGCCAGCCTCCTACGTTGCGATTAAGAGTCAGGTCGGAAGTGGAGACAGCTGGCCGCCTAGCTCAGCGCCGAACCGGGCATCTGGAGCGCTGGACCGCTCAGTCTTGCCGGCACCCTACGCCGCAAATACAGTGACGTCCTGCAAGCCAAGATGAGGTCCTGGCCCACGCGTGCGCCATCCCGACAACCTCTGGGCGAGCGGTATACATCCTCAGAAGGGGTACAAGACCCTGCAAATTGCTTTTACAGGATGCCCACGTTCCGGGAGCGGATGAATCCCACGTCGCAAACAAGCCAATGATCAATGCGCAGCTTACTGCATGTTGCCCTTGATAAGCACCCTTGCTGACTCTCCCGTGGTTAAGATTAGGACTTTGTTCCGCCTCTATTGATCCTGTACCCCCGTCTACATATCGAACAACACACAAAGCAGCTCGCCACCATCAGCCACACGTCACAGATTTTCTGCCTCAACTCTTTAACTTTGCATGACGCGATGCCCAGCTGGGTTAATTTGAGTCAGCACAGTTGCTAGTCAACAGAGTTCGATAACAACAGCGAAGCTACTAGATGTGCGACACCCGTCGTGGTTAGTGCGTTTAGCCGGCTCGCCGATAAGTCAATCAACAGCTTCTGGTCAGCAAGCCGAGGTGCAGGATTTAGCCACCAACGTGCAGATACGGAGGGGAGAATACAACATCAGAAGCTTGCATACTGGCAAGCCGCGTCTAGGCTGACCCGCCAATGCATAGACGGCTGCATCAAGGGCTACGGAGGCGCATCTACAGGTCCACACTTTTCTGGGTACAAGCGTGGAAAACCCAAGTGTAGATCGCGCGGGTTTTGAAAAGCGATCGACCGGGCGCTAGACAAAACATGAACCATGGATTGATGTGCCGTGGCGCCCGAGATCCAAGTCAACTCTCCAACGTCAAGCCTCAAGCACAAGCCTAGCACCGGCCGGTCAAATCCTTCCGTATCCTTAGCGGTGTGTGGCTTTACCCCCTGGCACGTTGACTGCAAGGCTGTCACACTAGTTCTGCGCCTATCTCATCTTTCTTGACGTACCTGCGTCTAAACGAACGCTAGAAACAGCCACGCTACTGTGCACTATTTCCAAGACCGTAACAAGCGACTGGGATGAAACTGCCATGGGCACTGCCCGCCCCTTGCACTTGCAGAAGCCATCACGTCGAGAACGGCAGATACGCCTAGAGTGTGTTGAATGTTCTAAATCTAGGCTTTTGGAATCCGTGAACCTCGCTCTTCCCGACGCCGCTTAAGCCTACTATCGATTTATCGGTGCCGCATACTCAGCGCGGCGCTCGCTCGGCTTGTGGTATCGATACTTCAGCTCCCAACAACGTCCCCTGCGTTGTTTTGTGTACTCTTCTAATCTCCTTAGACGAGGTCGCGTACGGCAATTAACTACCTTGCCCATCGCTAATACTTTGGAATTTCTATTCCGCTTTTGATACCTTCATTCTACAGTACGACAATGCCTTCCTTCTTCAAGCGCAACAAGAAGGCCAGCCCTGAGGAGGACGCACCGCCTCAGGCCCACTCCCAAGATGTCCCAGACCTTCCTGCCGGCATGTCACAAAGGATGCGTCCCGAGTCCTCTAACCAGGGAGCATACATTCCCAGAAACCCTTCCAACCTGTCATTCGGTCCTATATATGGGAGCCAGATCAGCGCTTCCGAAATAAGGAAACAACCACGACCCTTCAGAAGCTACAGGCTAAGGGGAGAGTATGTACTACCCATTCCACCCGCTGTCAACTTGTATCTAATTTCCATGTTAGGCGTGAGCAGCCATGGGTCGACGACCCAAGGATGAAGAAGACCAAGGTCGGCAACTGGATCACCCTTGGCTTCATCATCATCGGCTTCTGTGTCAGTGGATACATCATGTACACTGGTGTGCAAGAGGCCCAAATACCTGAGCAATGTCTTATCATGGAAGACAACTTTGAGAAGATCGACCCCGCCAACTGGGGCTACGAGATCCAGACTGGCGGCTACGGAAACGGAGAGTTTGACTGGACTACCAACGACCCCAAGAACAGCTTCGTCGACGCAGAGGGTCTTCACATTGTCCCAACCCTCACCACCGAATCGACCAGTATTACCGAGGAGCAGATCGTCAATGGCTACACGCTGAACATCACCAAGGCTGACGGCGACGGCTCTTGCACATCCAGCGACTACAAGTCCTGCGGTATCCGCTCCAACTCGACCACTGGAACTATCATCCCTCCTGTTCGATCCGCACGCATGACCACCAAGGGCAAGAAGTCGATCAAGTACGGCCGCGTCGAAGTTGTGGCAAAGACAGCCAAGGGTGACTGGCTCTGGCCCGCCATCTGGATGATGCCCGAAGAGGACAAGTACGGTGAATGGCCTCGCAGTGGAGAAATCGACATTGCTGAGTTCCGCGGTAACTCATACAAGTACCCTGAGGGTCGCGACTTCGTTTCCTCTACGCTTCACTGGGGTCCTGACTACAAGCACGACGGCTACATCAACACCCACGGTACCGCCTTCTTCCGCCGCACAGACTTCGCTTCCAGCTGGCACACATTCGGTATGGAATGGACTGAGAACTACCTCATGTTGTACCTCGACAGCCGTCTCAAGCAGGTCATGTACTTCAAGTTCAATGAGAAGAACAAGTTGTGGAACAAGGGTGGCTTCAACGGTCTCACCACCAGCAACGGCACTCTCTTCGAGGACCCCTGGAAGCAAGGCGGTAAGAACGCGCCTTTCGACGAGAAGTTCTACCTCATTCTCAACGTCGCCGTCGGTGCGCAAAACGGATGGTTCTTTGACGGCGAGGGTAACAAGCCCTGGGTTGATGGCAGTGACTTTGCTGTCCGTGACTTCTGGAATGGTATGTTCACACCCACTTCGAAACACTATGATCACTATGCTAACTCTGCAATAGCTAAGGATGACTGGCTCCCGACCTGGGGCGAGGGCACCGAGCGCGGCATGACTGTCAAGTCTGTCAAGATGTGGCAGGCCGGCAAGTGCTAGACCACCGGCGTCTGACTGCCGAACGCTCCTTCCTTTTTCTATCTGATAACCCCACGGGTCCACTTCACACTATAAACCGGGTTCACGATCACGGACGTATCACATTTCTTTTTCACAACGTCAGTCAGGGCACAAGGGCACATTAGATGAACGTTTCCCATTTCTTTTCCTCCCTGGCATGGTAGAGGCGCCGAGGCGTCTTGGGCATCAAACGTCCGCATCGAACATTTTACAGATAAGGACAAAACAATACTGTAGTATCTAATAGATTTTTTTCTCACCAATCGCTTCTATGCAATCACACACCACTCCCATGCAGCTTACGTGCAGCGGAAGTTGACAGCCTAGCGACAGGCCTCCAGCGACACGACATAAACGAATTCACCGTCGTGCATAATCGCCGTATGTACGACGCATCTCGTATCCGCAATCATGGTCCCACAAGCCTCGCGAAGCATCCACTCCAGCCTCGCATCGAAGACCCTCGCAGCTTCGCGTCCATCACTTGCATGTCGCGTCAGCACTCGTGTCTCACCTTCCTTCCCTGACCCAGCGAACACGCAAACAATGCACCCCCGCGCGTCTCCATGTCCATCGCCCGTTCTCGCCTTTGCGCAGCTATGCATCGCACCCCTGAGAAAATCACGTACGGTGTCGATGCCAAAGCGCGATAAACTTTCTGTTGAACATTCGCACTAATCTCCACACGACTTAGCCAGCGACTCAGTCTCCTAATCCAAATGCAGTAGTCGCAACGCTAATGCCGGCGAATCAGAGGCCTTGGGCGCGAGCACGACTCCCACCTGTTTAAGTTGCTGCAGGGGCTCACCGGCGGAGGCGCTTCCGCTTATCTGTACACGGGAGCGCACGAACTGCGCCGCATCATCCCGATTTTGATTGTCTCGTCCCACTTGTCCCACAGTTAGCAGGCCAGTACCCAAGTAAGTCAGCAACTGGGAGGGTGTTTACTTTTTTGGGACCTTCTGGGGTTGGCGGTTTCAGTCACCGCAGGAGGTTTTGTTTGCTTTTCCGAACTTCCAAGTCCGCAGGCGTGGGATCAGGGGCGTGGCTAGGGTACCGAGATTCATCCATGGTTCATCACAGGTATGATGCAAGAGGGGTTGCCTACTTGGACTACATGCCGCAGAGGAGGGGCAGCGACTAGCCAACACCCTCTCATCTCTCGTGCATATTCCAACATCATGGTGTGCTTACAATCAAGGCATCATCCACTCCGGTCTCCAACACCAATCTCCCTACTTTCAGGTTTTTTCTTGTCGCTCATCAACCGCGGCAACAGCCTTGCTAGGCAGCCACGCGAGGGATTTACCGGTGGCAACTTGTCTGCTCCATCGCCTTGCATACTGCAAGCCAGAACCCATGATGAGGCGGGCTGAGGACAACGTGGGACGGCACAATCCGCGGAGGCTTCGGCTGGGCGCCACGGTATTCCAGAAGGTGTAGATTGCAACTCGGAGCGCCACCAAGGCTTCGCACAATATACAATACTTCGTCTATGCATTGCGATGCTCGCTAGCCCTAGCAGTTGCAGCAACAGGGTAAGTACTTTTTACTTTGCGATTGGGCTGTTATCTGCCAGCTCACATCGGGCCTATGATACCTTGCAGTTCCACTCCGCTACTGCACGTTACCATGTCAATCTCGTCCTCGATTGCTCAACTACTCTATCTGTCATTCCAAGTATAGCAACCGACAATCACAGTCGCACCCAGAACCGGGTACTCAGCTACCCGACGGGCCGTCGCTGCTGCGATACGTGCCTCAACATCAGAGACCCTGTCGCCTTACCATGACCTTGATTTGGAAATCCCTCGGCTTGACGAACCAGTAATTCGTCGTTTCCCAATCTGCAGCCTGCAGGTGGGGGGCGAGCGAAAAATCAAAGTCGCGCACCAGCATGGGGATTAGCTTGGACATTTCCAAGTGCGAAATATGTCTTCCGATGCACGTTCGTGAGCCTAGACCAAACTGTTGCCACCTTTGTTAGCCGCTGTCTATCGTGAGAGAAAAGAGATGAAGGATTTGGTGAGGCTGGCTGAGATGGCGAAAGAGGCAATGGTGAACGAGTGGCGTTATGTTTGTGGAAACGACGACGCAGCGGTCGGCAGAAGCCGAGCAAGGTGACATTCGGGTGCTACGACTTACCGGCATCCAGTTGCGGTCCATGAGACTAAGCTTTTCTTTATCGGAGCTGAGCCAGCGCTCAGGTCTGAACACGTCTGCGTCAGGGCCAAAAGCAGATGTGTTGCGGTGAGCCACCCAGGAGTTGATTCCGACGATAGTCTACACAAGCAGTCAGCCTAGAGAACGCGATTTGACATGCACGGCAACTTACGCCCTCGGGAAAGAATTGATCACATATGCTCGCTCCCCCAGCGGGTACCACACGCTCGAGTGGTAGGCCAGTAGCTGGATGCATTCGCAGCGCCTCCTTCATGACGGCTTGAAGATACGGCATTTCCTGGCTTTCCTTGAATGTGATGTAGTGGCCAATCTTGCCTTCGCGCTGCCGCTCGTCGATCTCTTGACGCAAAGTCTCGAATGTTTGCGGGAACTTGAGTAGGTAGTAGAGGATTGCGGAGAGACTGATTGCTGTAGTATCTGAACCAGCAACCATGTTCGAAACGCAGCCCATGCTGAGATGGTACATTGTAAACGCCTTGGGGTCATCTGCGTTCTTCTTGAAGAATTTGGAAAGGAAGTCCATGCTCGTCTTGCCTTCCTCAATGCCATCGACTGGAATGGCTTTGGTCTGCTCCTTCTCGTGTTCCGCAATGCGCTCTTGCGTGAACTTCATGACATACGCCCTCCCAGTGCCTGTCGGACCAGCCAGCCAATTTCGGATGGGAAAGAGATATTTGTGCAGCCAGGAGAAGATGCCCGTAAAGGTAGCATACCACAGATGATCTTCGAGAGCCGCAATCACGCCACGAATATCCTCACCCCTATCCAAAAAGCCCAGTCGCTTCGAGTATGTGATCAATCCAATAACATCGAAGGCATAGCATTGCAGCCAATGCCCCATGTCGGCATACGCACCCGCACTCGCTACCTCCTGGAGGCGCTGGCTGAACAGGTCTGTGCACTCGTCGACGTACGGCTCGTAGCTGACAAGCGATGACATGGTGTATGCGCTCTGATATTGCCTCCGGTTCTCGCTGTGTCTTGGTATAGATTGGTCGGCGAAGAGGGACCACTGCGAAGGCGACGGGTTCTGCCAGGTTGCGTACCACGAAGACTTTGGAAATTTGGCGCCGTGCCCGTAGACAGTTTTCTGAGCATCGGGAGAGGAGAGGGAGTATCGATTCGGACCGTAGCGGACTATTTCGCCTGTGGTAATAGTGTAAGTATGGTATCAGGACAGATCAGGAACAGGCCGGCAGGGTCCAACTCACCATGCTTTCGATGCAGCTCAATGTTGTCCTGTTCAAAGCCTCCTCTTCTCACTCTCCAAAGGTACCACAGGTCTGTAAACCGCGTTGCGGCTGGTCCAGGTACATTTCGTAATGGTGAGGATACATTTTTGAAGAACGGAAAGAAGATGCGCGCGACGAGTGCTACGACTGCTGCGAAAGCAAGGATTTCGGAATGCATTTTGACAGTCTCAGTCACAGATCCGACAGCGATCTATCCAAGATGTGCTCTTATAGCTTCCGCGACGCATTTCGCGCGATTTGCTACATGTTTAGGCTCGTCCGAAGGTTCGCTGTGCGGGGAAGCGATGACGCGCGGAGAAGGGCGGATGGCGGGAGCGGGATGTGGAGCGGAGCCTAGCATGCTCGTACGAACATTGAACGGATTCTGGAGACCTCACATCATTCGCGTTCGGCATATACTGGCCATTTCGCGGTTGAGAGATGATACCGTCAACCGCGTTGTTGGGTGAATGAGATTGATGTGCAGACATCAAAGTCGTATAGCCGAGGTAAACGCGTCCTTGACACGAACTGCATCCGATGAAGAAGCACCACCATTCCACCATGTCAACACTAAAAGTATGCCTCTGGATTCTCCTATTTTCAGATGATCCGACTGTTCTACAGAAAGCCGGGGAACAATTAGGAGAATCAAGGTTCTCGGACTCACCAACCATCTGAGCCTTTGCTGAATGCATCCTGCCCACTGTGATCGCACCAACGAGATTTTCGTGTCGCGTATCCACAAGTATCCAAAGCTCCATTCTAGGTACAGGGCGTCATCGTATGTAACAGCATGTGTGTATTAGCCCAGACGAGCACAATAGATACCACGGGGAGTACTCTACACTCTCCTCCACATCCCGACTATAAACTAGATTAGACAAAGGTCTTGGGGAAAACGCTCATCTATTGTGAGCACCGGGTTATTTGGAACCGAATACGTTGAAATTCCTAGTTTGGCGGTCGCACTATCGGGAACGTGCCACTGCGCAACTTTCAGTTCCAAAGCTCAGGTGGCTTCTTCATATCTACAGAGTCGAACTCGGTCTCCTCATCACAACCCCGAGGTTTCGTTCCGCAGCAATAAAGCAGTGACAGCGCTTTCTGGATACACTCAAACAGTCGACTATTTTTCCTCGAAAACCCATGGAGCTCGTACTGACCCGGTGACGTTTGTTCATGGCAGCAGCAGCAGCAACATGCATGAAGATGGCTTCTATACCAGTAGCATATTCTACCTCGTGTGAAGCTGATATGCTAGTATACTTACCGCATTCTTATTCTTTGGTATTTCCTAGATGAAAGCTCCTTCCCCAGTGTGAGCACAGGCACGGAAGGTACTACCCAGACTTGCTGACACGCGATCACCAGTGGGGCCTTGGACTCAAGAGCCATGACAATCAATTCGGTTATCACAATGTTCCTAGCTTAACGTATTTCCATGATCGTCGAGCTGCAGCTTGGGTACTCAGGCGTAGGTTCTACAATGAGCAACTGATGACTGGTAACCAAATCAAAGCGCCAAAAGAATTCATGATCGCAAACGCAGTGAAAGGTATCCATTTTGTATCATGTACATATCTAGAAGGCAAGTTGCCACATGTCCGTCAAACGCTCGTTGTTCTCACCAAGCCCACCATGGATGATGACGCTGTCGTTGCCGCTCTCAGCCTTGACCACATCAGCATCAAACCAACCACGGGGGTCAGGAGTACCATCGCTGCCATCGGGGTGTAGTTGAGTCCACCACTTCTCGCTGATGTCATAGATCCAGACGTCTTTCAACATCTTGCCTGCACCGGCATGGCCGAGCGATGAAGGGTCATGTTCACCGAAGAGTGTAAGGAGCTTGTCTTTTCGAGCCAGCTTGACTGGCAGAAGAACACAGACACTGCGAGCTTCAGGTCCATCGTTGCCATCCGCTTTGAATGTGTCAGTTGACCAAGAATTGTTGGCAAGGTCGAAGACGTCGATACTACCACCCTGCTCCGTGGTTCCATCAAATCCATTCATCCTGTAAAGCTTTCCACTACTGTAAGCGATAGAAGTTCCTCCTCGATGTGGTGCCGGAGCGTCGGGGGCTTGTTTCCATGTACGTTCGGTGATGTTGAACATCCACAGATCTGAGAGACGGCCACTTGCGGGACATCCAGCATGGAGGAAGAAGGTGTCTTTGCCATCACTAGTAGAGCAGTGATAACTGCGAGCTGGTGGATATGGCGCAGATGAGTCAGCAGGCATGATCTTGGACCAGGCTGAGCTTGAGGGGTCGAAGCACCACACTGCGCCATCTTCCTCTATTGGGGCCATGTCGATGCCACCCCGACCAGAGAAAAGGTACATTTTCCCATTCAGTACAGCTGATGCACTTCCAACGCGAGGATTGGGCGCAGAAGAAACAGCCTTCGTTTCCAAACGCTTTGCGTCTGTGGCGTCGTTAGTGCTGTACCTTGATGGCCTACTTCAATGAGGGGGAAGTAATACCAGACTTGAGCGAGACAATATCGACTTTATCATCCAGCGGCTCCCTTGGCTTCACTTCACCACCGAAGATGCAGACATGATCGTCGATAACGGAAAGGACTTGGGAAGATCGGCGCAGACGTTCGTCGTCGAGAAGACGCTTCCAGGAACCTTTGAGCGTACTGATGGGCATCATGGGCATCGTTGCAGTTTGTGAACTCTGAACTGGAACGGACAGCAATTGACTTTGTCGAAGTTGTAGTCCTAGATTAGTGATATAGAGCTCAGATCAAAATCGAGGATTGCGTCATGTGCGGGTGGTAATACACCTGCTGTTTGCAGTGACATGCTGGTGAATCTAGAAGTGGAGAAGGGGCTAAGCAAATAGGGTTAGGCTCGAAAGCAGGGGTCGTCATCGCCCTAGCTCGTTCCAAAAGTTCGCGACCATTGCATTTCACGCGCGAACACATGCGCCTCAACACGCCATCATGAGGCTTCGACTGACGGTCCAGCGGAATGGCCTGCCTGCCGCCAACATACTCTGGAGCGTGCCCGAAACGAATAGCACGCAGGCATACACCATCACGCGTCTGCTCGAGGATGTCAACCACATTATCCCGCTAGAGGCCGAGCACTGGGGCCTGGAGCACTATGTCGTCGAGGTGGGCGGCTTCGAGTGCCTGCACTTTATGCCCGTCACGAATGCGCTCAAAGAAGACGATCATGTTTCGTACGGGATTCCTAAATCTCTACACTAACATCTGCTAACAGCCTACCAGCATCCGCCCACTCATGACTGCCGAAGTACGCGCGCGCACCCTCACCGGCCGTGATCAAATATCAGACGGAGGCCAACATCTCGTCGATGGCGTTCCCTTCGGTCGACCCTACTTGCGACAACCAAATCGACCTGCTGTTCGTATACCTCCGCGCAAACGACGCCGACTGGACGATGGGCAGTCCGACGACGATACTGAAGCTGTAGGGCTTCTAACGGAGCATGGAGAACCATCCGAAGCGCGCGACGATGTTGCGACGCTGAGCGGTCACAAAGGGTCGGGAAATAAAGCATCAAGAGCGCAACGGGTAGTCAAGTCGGTGCAGTTCGAGCAGCCCGAAATTGATGATTCGGACGACAGCGAGGAAGATGATGATGACTTTGCACCCGAAGAAGCAGAGGAGGAGGCGTCCTCTTCAGACGACTCGGACTCAGACTCAGACTCAGACTCAGACTCGGATTCAGACTCAGAGGCCGACGCAAAGGCAACGGCAAAGGCAAAGTCGGACGCGTCGTCTAGCGCCTCAGATACTTCGGATTCAGATTCAGAGACAGACACCTCGAGCGATTCCGACTCCGACTCCGATGATAGCGACGCAAGCTCCCCGCCCGATGTCTTGTCTTCCAAAGACGGTCGCAAGACCAAAGCAGCCACAACGCATGTACCCCCCGGAGATGGACTCAAAGCTACAAAGCTGAGGAACTCGCGACGTACAAGAGCTAATCGTCTGCGTAGTCTCAAGGCGTCGGGCAAGCTTCCCGAAACCGCTACGTTCAGCGACCTGGCCGCCTACGAAGACGGCAGGTATGGGCTGGATGAGGAAGAACCTCGACACACACAACCTTTTGCCAAATCCCAAGGCAAGAGAAAACGATTAGACGAAGATGAGCCGGCAGAGGAGGTCGCGGAAGACACAACAGAGCTGGAGCGAAGGAAACGGGACCTGATGGCGAGGTTCGGAGAAAGCACAGAAGCGACGGCACCAGCGGACGAGACCATACAGCCAACGGCTCCGGTTGTTGAGCAAGCCACTACTACCCTAGTGGAAGAAGAGCCACCAGCGAAGAAAGAGCTGACCTCCAGAAGATTGCGACCAGACACCCGCGCCATTGGTCGGATACTTGCTCGACAGGCTGGGCCTGTTCGGAAGACAAAAGCGAAGGCACCGACACCTGAGCCTGAAGAGTGGTCAAATCCCGATTTGTGGAAAACCCGAATCAACCTCTCGGCGTTTGAATGCTGGGAAGAGGACTTTGAGCTCAGCGCTCCGCCCTTCCCGTTTCAGCAGCACTGGGACCCAGCCAGCAAGCTTATGCATGACAAGGCTAGGAAAAAGAAGCAAAAGAGGCGGAGTAATGTGCAGCAGGAGGCAACGCCAGTAGAAGAGGAGGAGGAAGAGAAGATCATCTTAGACTACGACGATGCTCCCACAACGAACCCCGACTCTGAGTCCATCAACGCAGCCGTCGAGGACCAGCTGCGTCAAGATCTTGCAATGGCTGCGCAGTCTGATCTGCCACCACTTCCTGAAGACATGAGCACCCTGCCAGATCTCACGTCGTCCGACATGAAGGTCGGTGCTGTCATCGCCTGCAAATTCTTTACTGTGAATCCCGTCACTGTTACACCCGAAATTAGCGGATACAAGACAGCTACTGTAGAGCAAGAAGGCGACTCAGGCCCCGGCGCGGGTACGATCCAGCTCAAGATTGCTTTGCGCGATCTTCCAAAGCGGGAGAAGAAGTTTGACAGCAAAGGCAACCGCATCTACAACGCGGCCGACGCTCTCCTCATGGAAGAGGATGACGAGGATGAGGGCCTGTGGGAAGGCTCATTTGGCGAGCTTCTAGAAGCGAAGCTTGTGAAGGCTGCGTAAGTGACACCACGAGGTATGTGTCGTTGCTTGGTCGACCATTCGTATGGTTATCGGCCACACGTAACACCCTCTATCTTGCTTCATCGTACATGTTTCAATATACCCAATTTCATCTACTTTTGACCTTTGGGTATGTGTACGGTCCGTGAATCCGAGTGTGGTGTCGCGAACTGGAGTTTGGTGAGGTTACCCCGCCGAACGTCATGCAAACCCCTCCTGGTCCAGAAGCTGCAGAGCTGACAGCCACCGGCACTACTCACTCCCACGGGATAAGTTTCCCATGGCGAGCCTCTCATGTACACAGGGTCTTTGCCTGCGTTTGATGTTTTCTACAAGCCTTCGCCCGCGGTGTGACTTCCCTTCGGAGCAAGTTGGCCGCGCCCGCTATTCCTCGGCGCCCCCAATTCAGGGTCTTAGCCCCAAAATTGTAACTGCCGTGGCCCACTAGCTTCATGATTAGACGTGGACGGGTCGTTATGCGATGGAGAACCGACGAGGCCGTGTACGAATTTTCGGCAGATGCGTCCCGTCTCGTCATCTTATTGCTAAGCCTCTAGCCAAACTACAGCATCATTGTGTCTGACGGACAAACTATTGCATAGCAAAAACCACAACATCTCATGTAAGTGTTGATGCCGCGATAGTGCCACAGCATGCTAACCGTCGTACAGAACTAGACACAATGCCTCTTCCCACTGGTGTATATCGGGCCGACCACGTCGGCTCCTTCCTCCGCCCCAAAGCCGTCCTCGAAGCGCGTACAAAGGCAGCCAACGGTGAGATCACCGCCGACGAGCTCCGCAATGTCGAAGACGAACACATCAAATACGTCGCAAAGAAGCAAATAGAGAGCGGTCTCCGATCCATAACCGACGGCGAGTTCCGCCGCGCATACTTCCATCTCGACTTCCTCAAGCACGTCGAAGGTATCGAGGAGAAGGGTCAAGTGGGAAACATCAGGCACAAGGATGGCTTCTCGCCACCAACGCTGGTCGTAAAGGGAAAGCTGGCCCACCCCGAGGCCATTCAGGTCAAGGATTTCCAGTTCCTTGAGCAAGCGATCAAAGAGAATGGCGGCAAGGCGAGCACAAAAGTCGCCATCCCATCGCCAACAATGGTGCACTTCCGTGGTGGACGTGCCTCGATCGACATCTCCGCATACCCCGACCTTGATGTCTTCTTCGAGGACCTCGCCCGCGTATACCAGGAGGAGCTAGACAGCCTGTACAAGGCTGGCTGCCGCTTCGTCCAACTCGACGACACCAACCTGGCCTACCTATGCGACCCCGACATGCGCAAAGCCGCCGAGCAGGAACGCAACGAAGACCTCAGCACCCTCCCCCGCAAATACGCCGAGCTCATCAACAAGGCTATCGAGAAGCGACCTGCAGACATGAAGATCGGCATCCACCTCTGCCGTGGCAACTACCGCTCCAAGTGGTTCGCCTCTGGCGGCTACGAGCCCGTCTCCGAAGTTCTCTTCAAGGAGCTCAACGTTGACGCCTACTTCCTCGAGTACGACGATGCGCGATCTGGCGACTTCTCCCCGCTGCGTCATCTGCCCGAGCACAAGGTTGTTGTGCTCGGTGTCATGAGCAGCAAGAAGAACACCCTCGACGACAAGGAGGAGATCATCAAGAGGCTACATGAGGCGGCTAAGATTGCCCCCAAGGGTCTCGATCAGCTTTGCGTGAGCCACCAGTGTGGATTCAGCTCCACAGCTGAGGGTAACGAGTTGACGGAGGAGGAGCAATGGGCTAAGGTTAAGCTGAGTGTAGAGATTGCCAAGCAGGTCTGGGGCGATGATATTAGCAAGTAAGAAGAAGCTTGTTTCGGTTGGGGAGTTTGAGGTGCTGGTACTGAGATGAAAGCATGAGTACGGTGTTGTGTAAAAGTGGTCTGATCAGGTCTCAACGACTGATCCATGTATGTATTATGAAGTAACGGTTCAACCCCAGTGAGATCAAATGTATCAAATATAACAACATTGCCGTGTCATAGCATGCTAGTGACATGATCAACAGCTGAAATCAGGAGGCCATTTGCTTTACAATTTACAGATCTCGTGTTCAGCGTTTTACTCGACGAGGTATGTTATCTAGCTCATCTCGCTACCTATACCACAGACTGTCATGAATGTTGCCTCTGATGTTTCAGTTCCCTTCTACCTCTACAGCATACCTCTGTATGTCGCTCTTGTAAACTTCTCTAAGCAATCCCGGGATATCAAAGAAACAGACCTCGAAGTACTTCGGACCACGATACTCCTGTTCTCTGTGCACGCGACAAACGTGAAAGTGCGTTATCAGAGCATCGAGTAGCACGTTGATATTGTCATAGTAGGCGTTTTTCCTGCTCTTGTTTGCATGGCCGTCACGGCAAGCGTGAGGAAGTACGGCTGGTGTAAGAGGCCCACGTTTCTGGTAATTTCGACCGAGGTAGACATGCCAGAGCGGTAGCTTCCTCAATCTCTGGTATATCGACTTCCATGATCCGTCCGTTAAGGTCGCTTCCGTTGCCTCGAACCACACCAATTTCTCGGCGCGCTTGAGGAATCCTCGGAGTCGGCTACCACTTAGGTACAGATCGGAAAGCTCTAGAGATTGCAAATGCTCGTACGAGCGGGCCATGATGTGTGTAGAGAAGAGACTTTCGCAGCCATGGCATATCCTAAGCTCAGGAACTTCGTTGCACCCTAGGAGTTGTAGGCGTTCAACACTAGTAGTGGCAGCAACAACTTCTAATACATTGGGATGGACCGGGCGCACATTCTTGATGTGAGCTCCAACTTCGCGACTCTTCGCAACATCTCTGCCGTATGCATTTGGTGTTAAGAAGACAGCTTTCTTGATCCAAGGTCGAAATTCCGACAATGAGTCTGCAAACAGCTTCCATTCGGGCTTCTGAGAGTTCTCCAGCCAGAGGTAGACGTAGGCGACCTTCTCTGGAAACTGCGAAAGCTGCAGTGCTCGCAGCACAGTTGTCTGTTCACTGACAATATGAGTCCCAAAGGGTAGCTCTAGCTCGATGAAAGAGTCCGCGTCTTGTTGTTGTCGAAAACATTGGGCGAGCATATGGGTGGCTTCACCAGACCTCACAAAGCTGTACTCGTCCTCGTGTAGCAGATACCACTCGTAGTCGCTTATCGTCTTGGGTTTTTTGGGCGGGCATACAGTTATGCGCACCATTCGATTGCGGAAGGCGGGGATACGGGACAAGTGTAGGAAGAGAGCAAGCGACGACGGCTCGAGATAAAAGCGGCATTCCTGGAGGCCGTACCGAATGCTTGCGTCGAACTCAGTCCTAGCGTAGATGGCTTTGCATGTCGATCGCAGCGATCCAAAGTCTCTGTTCTTGTATGAATACTTGTTGTTGTTGGTACCCGACGCTCGTCCGAGGAAGCGACATACTCGGCTGAGGAGCTCTACTGGAAGCTCGATCAAATCCATTTTGTCTTTTCGCTGGTGGTCTGATCAGAAAGATTGCCCTATATGGTCTCCAGAGGGTCAGTCAAATGATGCTAGGTTGAGGGATTGGTTTATGTTGACCGAACGTAGAGAGCCAGAATTGCTGTAGTCCAGAGGTTAAAAGCTGCCGCTGCCTAGGTGATAAAGCCTGTCCGTGCACCAACGATGACTACATGATTTGGTCAGACCACCAGTGAATATTGTCGATTATTCTGGAGTTGCTCTACGAGCTACGGTCATGAGAATGTAGCCTGCGCTCTCATATCTGTCTGCTAGCCGCGCACTGGTAACAGTACGCGAGCATGTATTGAAAGAATACGGCTGAACCTAGAGAATACGCATTGTGTTCTTTGGGTGAATGTACAGAGGAATGAAAAGAGAAGGAGCACCCAAGAGAGCGGAAGGGATGATGTCACCGCGCTAGGCCGGAAGAGAGTGTCGCTCTTTCTTCAGTTGCACTTGAGCAGGCATTCCACCCACAAACTACTCCAAACATCATAGAGACTAGATATGAAAAGTTTTTTCATCGGTGCTTGTTTCGCTGGCTTCTCTTCAAGAGCTCATGGCCCGAAGGATGTGTCCACCCGTCTCCCGGCGCTTCTATCGACGTCAGCAGCCAGACGTCCCGCAAGTGCGCTCACGCTTGCTGAGTAGCAAACATAGAGAGATGTACCCGAGATGAAAGGTGTTAGAAGAGCGCTAGTGATTAGTTCCTACGACTTATGCGCAGAGGCAAGGAATAGATGCAAAACACTCATATCGTGATGGTAGACTCTTGGACGAAAGTGACTTTACATTATCTATGCAATCGACCGTAAAGCGCAGCTGTCAAACAGAAACATGGCCAACCATGTGGTAATGACTGTCCTGAGACCTTCTAAGGTTTTACAAATACTGCCCATCGTCCTCGACACTCCTCCCCCACTCCATCCACAGACATCGTTCAGCTCCGAGAGCTTTCCGCCTGGTGATCTTTGGGCTGAAAGCCTATCTAAGCAGCAGCAACCATCTCGCGGCGCGCGAACCTGAGGTTCCTCTTGGTGATACCGGTGGTAATGCCTTGGTACTGGTTGATGCAAACAGTAAGAGTTCCGGAAAGGGCACCTGCTTCATCCTTGAAGTCTGCGGCGCGGGCCTCGAAGGTATCAATCAACATGAAGGCAATCGTCTGCGAAAGGCTGTTAGCGAGCAGACTCAAGGAATTACGTTCGAGTTCAACAGATAGTATCGGAGCGGGCGCTGGGCGTGAAAACTACAAGAGAAGAAAGACTTACATCAACGACCTTCTCGATCTGCCTGAGTACAGCCGCAACGGGCGCACCGACGAAAGGGACAGTACTGAACAAACCGGCCTTGCCAATGAGGATGTTGAGCAGCGCTTGATGAACTCGGACAAACTGTTTCTCGTCGTAAGCAACATGAATATCTGTGGAACAGATGGTACTCACTTCGCGGAAGGCTTCGAAGACGGCATCAGTAGAAGCGCCTGCGGGCTCTTTGGGCATGCCCTGCATCTGAGCGATGGCGGTGGTGGCGGTAGTTACAATGTCTGCGAAGCCCCTAATGATCTCGGGGAATGGTCCCTGACCGACGAGGAGCAGTTGTCCACTGATAATGGTGACGCTTTTGGCCGGCGCCTGAAGCGCCATGCTCTTCGTCGTAATAGATTTAATGTTGGTGACAACCTCAGCAGGCGTGATTGCAGCGGAGATGGGCACGGAGAAGGCCAAGGCGGCGGTGAAGAAGTTGCGGAATGAGACCATGATTGCGGTGGGAAGAAGCTGTGAAAGCGGTTGTTGGTGGTAGATGGTAGAAGTGAGGAGTGATGATTGCAGATGAGGGTGTGCGATACCTTCTTTTCATGGGAGACTGCGGTGTCTTTATACCCGACGTGCGATGTAGCCAAGCTCGAGTCAACGGAGCAAATGCCTCCCGTAGTCCTGAACGACAACTAGGTTCGCTGATCCTCCTGGACACCGCGTTGAAATGCCAATCAAGCCCATAACCCAGAAGGTGGGTGGTGTAGCGTACGCTACTATCGAAAGAACAAAGTTCAATGACAGGTGAGGCTATGCACTACAACCCACTTTGCCTTGACCGAACACACGCAGATGTTTGCATGTAGGCCTCTGAATCAGTTGACAAAACGTTCTTGGACGTTGATCCTAAAAGATCATTGATCGGAGTATGGCATGAGTTGACATGTTTTATCGCATCATATTGAAGCAGCTTTCAACTATCGTCGGTAACCACTCTGCTCTCAGTATTGTGGTTGATGTTACCTCACAGTGATTATCGACAGGGTCTACCAAACTCGTCTCTGGCAGAGAGATCTGCCATAATCCATCGCCGAGTGGGGCTTTTGCGGCTGAATCTGCACATGGCATTGCGATCATCGATTCCCACTACTCTCGTCTAATACATGATCAACAATTTACTCCCAGTGAATCAAGAGACGCCGTATTGGGTAGAGAGCACTAACCGATCTCAGGGCTAAGGGGCTCAAGTCACTTCCCAACTTGTAGGGTGAGCTCAGACTACCCCGATCGCTTCACCGCGCCAAGATTAGCCTTGCAGTAGCATAGTAGATCGCTACCTTCTGTGAACAAGGCTTCTTGTCGACGTGCCCGAGTTCAGCTGAGGTTGTTCAGTTAGTAGCTCTTTGTTGGCAAGCGGCGCCCCACTGGAAAGGGTGTAGTGTAGTAGCGGTATCTACGGGTCGGCGATCCTTCTGCGGGCGTAGCCGTCGAACATCAGTGCGATGATGCAGCCGCCCGAACATGCAAAAGCAGGCACCTACGATCGTCCAGTCAGAAATCCCAGCAACGAAGTAGGGTCGCCGAGCCTTATGCAGGTCTGCTTTTTCCATGTCCGGAGCGGCCGCAACCAATGCCAAGTCACGTGGATGCCTTTGTTGCCCCTCGTGTAGATGGCAATCTAGTCTCACAATGTACAACGGCATGCAGGTGACTACCTGGAAAAGGGAAATGCGACATGTTCGCTGCGTGGCGCGGTCCGCCAAAAGCAATACAAAGGGTCCGGCTGATGTGTTGTTGTTTCTTTTGTCCAAGTCAGGGCTCGGAATAATGCCGAGCCCGCTGAGTCGCGGACGTTCGCCGACACTAGCCGTACAGACAGCTCCTATACTTTGGCGAGGAGCTAGTTCCTGTGCTTCTCATGGTAGCTCGACTTCGGCGACTTCGCTGCACAATCTCTGCTGATTTGTAGCGACCGGAATACTCAACACATGTCGATTAGGAAATGAGAGACATGGTATTAAGAGTGAATGTTCCGATAGGTATAAATCGGCCGATCCTTCCCAGATAGCTACGTCAGCTCAAAGTTTAGTGAGATCGTACCTTAGGCCAACACCATTAGCCGCAAAAAACCACCGGTATATTGCCGGCGTACTTGATGTGATGCCAGCTTGTGCTTAACCACCAACTAATTGCAGAGGCGCATTTGCTGCGGGTATTCACTCGCGACCGTTGTGACCAACCCTGTAAGCTACCAAACTTCTAAATAGCCTCTATGAACAAAGCAACGAGAACGAAAAAGCATGTTGGCAATTTACACCAGTAGAAAGCACGATGCCGGATGTTCCGTACTGTCTGCACTGCAATGTAACTTGCGCATGCCTAGACGAATGGCTTTGACACAGGACGCTAGACTCCACATTCTGACGAAACTGGGCAGAACTCACATTAATGTCGTACTGAGTCGGGCTCAATACTCTGATTGATTCTGACTGGCACACTGGCTTCTTCAATGTACGAGCCAGTCTTTTATGAAGTCGGCCGTACTTCTACAGACCTCCAAACAGACTACGGCCGCGTACAGCAGTGAGTGGAAGACTTGCTATGAAGCTCGAATACAGATGCGTGTGCAAACATCATGGCTGGGTAGTCCTCAACTAGGCGCTCAGACTCCAACCCCATCATTAACGCACCAACAAACGTCAAGCAACGATCATAAATGAGACAGTCCTCATCCATGTGACGGCGCCACAACGTCACCTCAATATCGAACTCCACCAACAAGAATGCGATCCAGCTCTCTATCCCTTAGTTGTCACGAAGTCTTGAGGCGCGTCCGCATAACAGCATCTACCATTATAGATGTTTGGTCGAGGCTAAGCTCCTAGTCCTCCAAGCAGAACGGCACCTTCTACTTTAAGCCTCATGTCCGTGTTTCTTTACTTCTTCGTTCTTTGCAATTACAGAGCGGGCCTTAGTAGCTCCTCTCGCTGCCGTCGGAGGGGTTGAACCGAGTTGCAAGCGCCTTGCTATAAGACATAGAAAAGCAAACACCGACAGACATGATGAAGGCTAGCCAAGACAACATCGGTTACCCTTAGGTCACTGGAAAACAGCCGTCAGTGTGAGTAGCGCATACTTACAATGTTGTCACTGGTCTGAAATTGTTCGTATGTTGAGCAAGCGGTGCTACCGGAAGCCTCATCCCCAAGGTCGTTATTACATCCTATGCTCTTAGTAGAGCTTCCCCAGAATCTGAACGCCAGCATGTTGCATAGACTAAATGAAATTAACGCCCCCATAACGAGGTCTGCATTCGATATGGCAGATGACCCATAGCCCTCATGCAGTCGGCAGACGTGCCAACAACGGTAGGACGTCCTTGAACCTCACTGGCTTGAGAAGGAACTCGTCAAAACCGCTATTCTTCGCTTGCTTTCGCGCTTTCTCGCTACCAAGACCCGTTAATGCGAAGATGTACGCCCGGATACCTCTCTCATCCTCTAGAGTACCATCTAGACCATGTCTCGCAGCGTCATCGGACTGTCTTGGTATGCCTTTTTCCATCAAACCGTGTTCGATTCGACGAATCTTTGACACGGCCTGGAAGCCATCCATAACTGGCATGCTGATGTCCATGAAGATGCAGTCATAATTTGCTTTTGGGTCCTCTTGCTCAGTGGCGGTTTGATAGAGACGCACCGCTTCTGCGCCGTCGGTGGCACTGGAATACGGTACGCCGAGGCGTTTTGCAAAAGCGCAAAGCATTTTTAGATTTATGGGGTTATCGTCTACCAAGAGCAGACGGCGGAATCGGCATGTTGGGCTGCTTGTAAGCGGGGTAGGTGGTTGTGTTGGTAATGGTGCTTGTAGAGCAGGACTTGTGGCGGCGTCGGCTAGTGTCACACGCTGCAACGATAAGCTGCGGTGTGGAAGTACTTTGGTTTGTGGGTCTGGCTCTAGGACTGTGTCGGCATGTTCTAATTGCTCTGTTGGCTCCATGTCAGGTCTGCTTCTGACTTCTATGGACGGCACCGAGTCTGCCATCTCTTTGTTAGTGGCATCCTTCATAGCCGAAATGAGTGCAGGCCCGAGCGAGTTTGCAGTGACTAGTACTGTGTGCATGGGCTTGCTAGTGCCAGATTCTGGAGGTGCGCCTTTAATATTGCGCAGGTCGACCGTGACCGGGTAAGTCCCTCCTGTATACGTAGGGAACAAAGTTTTCAAGTCGTACGTGAGTTTCGAAGAGAGGGCATGGTGATCGATGAGGAGTACATCCAGAACCGGGAGTGTGTCTGTGGAAACAGTGGTGAACCTCATGCCGAAGCGATCCTCGCAGATATTTTGAACGGCCCGCTCCAGCGCTTCGGGAGGCGAATCGATAGAGGGTGCAAATTCTTTGCCTTGCTCTTCGGGTAGAGAGAGACTGAGCATACCGATTGCCTTTCCGCTTAGGCATTCGTGAGAGGAAACGCTCTCGCCACGTGGCGCATTTGGTCTCTGCGCCGTTTGACTAGCCGGAATGTTGATGATGATCTTCGTTCCCTTGCCCAAACGACTAGAGACTGATATAGTTCCGTGTAGTGACTCCACGATGCTTTTCACTAAGCTCAAACCTAGCCCAGTTCCTGGACTTAGTAGATTCTCCTGAGTAAAGGGTGTAAAGAGATGGTATTTGAGGAAATCCTCACTCATGCCTACACCCGTGTCGGTCACAGAAAGACTGATGTTTGACTGACTGTCATCGGCAGCCTCCACGAATGCTAGACCTACGTGAATGTAACCCGACTTGGTATACTTCAATGCGTTGCTGACGACATTAAGTAAAATGCGCTTCCAAGCACCCTTGTCAATGACAAAGGTCCAATCACGGGCCTTTTCGATGTGTGTGGTGACGACGACAGGCTCGGATTGTGCCGTTGCGGGCGATCCAGCCAACGAATCTTGACGCTCTTTATTGAGTCCAGAAGAGAGGCGCGAAGAATGGTCATGACCTACGGAAACAGTCCCAATGACATCTTCGACCATAGAAGCTAAGTCGACAGCTACTGCACCGTGATGAACGTGGATGGTGGAACGAGGATGCCCATTTCCGCCTCTTTGTCCAACGCTGGCCCGGCTATTCACTTTGGAATATTCCAACAGATGGTCAAAGGTATCGAGAAGAGTAACCGCACAAGACTCAATCATGGAGATCTCCGACATCAAACCAGATCCCTGGCAGTTTTCTTGGATCAGCTCAATGCTGGCCAAAATGCCATGCAAGGGACTTCGTAACTCGTGACTGATGGTAGAAACGAAATCCGACTTTGAAAGTGTATTTTCGCATGCTTCTAAGCGAAAGACCTCAGCCATCAGTGAGTTACCGAAAGCTGTCAATGAATTGACATCGCCAGTATCAAGTGTTTTGCCGGTGTCAGATACCCAGGCTAGGCAGGTAGAGTAGCAAGCTTCTCTTGAGTAATGAAACATAGGTAGGAATATTACGTAGCGGGTCTTTGGCAATA